AGATGCGGTCGTCAGCGCGGTCGTTGTCGCGACACTGGCGACTTGGATAAGGGGATTGAGGTCCTCTAATTCGCGGCTGGCCACAGCTGCGGCTGCTGAAGTTGTGTAGCCAAACTTGAAAAGGCGAACTCGGTGTAAACTGTCGGCCACAAGGAGCTGATCAATACCGGAGAAAGGCAGGGCGTGACCAATGACTTCGACAGAATGATGACTCAAGTCGGTCATGGAAACAGAGTCGCTGTTGCCGGCAACAACTGCGGCTGCAGGCGCGCCAGGAGTAGTGGGATCGAGAGTAAATCGGCACGCCTCCAGATCGCGAACGGAGTTGTTTGGAAAGCTGGCCAAACTGGGAGTGATATCGACGGGAGGTGGAGTGAGAAGGGCAGCCATACTTTGCACTCTGTAGCCTTCAACGGTAACGAGGATGTGGCCATCGTCTTCAGTGTCCTAAAACATTCAAACAAAACGCAGTGGACAATAATACTTATACTAGGATTGTGTAATTTAATATATCATGCTCACTCAAAGGGAGAAAAATACGTAGAGAAAATAAACTCAACGTACTCTAGTTGAAAATATCGTCACATAAATGCTCTGGACCAAAAAGCGTTTCTCAACAGCAAACGCATGCTTGCCATGTAACTTTTTCAACACGTCTGTGAATCCCCAGTAATTTGAAACGGGGGAAATATAAGCCCCATAACTGGTAAAAATGAATATTTACCAACAAGTTTAGGCTATGTGGAAATGGAAACGTATTTTGCTAACATATGCTGTACACTGTATGACAACCAGAATGTCTGTTTGTTAGCTTAGATGAGCACCGCTCAGTGTGGTACGCAGTGAAAGCTAAAAGTAGGCAACCAGAAACAATGCGGCGGCTATATCAAAGGTTACAGCTAGGTACAGATCAAGCGAATTGGCTATTTGTAAAAAACGTTGAGTGGAAATTAGTACTGTGATATAGTACAGTAGATTCCCTAGCTCATGAAACGTCACCAGGAATTCTGAAATGCGTTTTTGATTCAAACATATTAAAGTTGCGAAAATTCCCATCAGAGAATTGAGAAGAGTATTTGGCGAGCA